GACGCACGCGAACTCCGATTTAAACATAGTGGTGCCTCAGGGTCACGAGCTGGACGGAGAGAGGGACCCTGACATCCAATCGGAAGTATTGTAAGCACTTCAATTTTTGGTATTTGAGCCCCCTCTCTGTCCAGTTCGTGGCCTTGAGGCGCCAACACGTTTAAATCACTGTATAGAACGTCGCGCTTTCGTCACTGCCTTAATATTGCGGCGCGAGCTCTGTTAAGTTGCCACAAGTGCAGGGGACATTGTGTGCTTGTGGCTGTCCGAGCGATGACGCGTCGAAGGCTTTCGACCATCTTGTCGTGATCTTCCTTAGCCCCGAAGAGGACCACGAAGTGTTCGAAAACCTGGCGACGCGGCCTCGCCCTGACAGCCAAGTGCAGTCGCAAGAGGCCGACGCCTTCCGCCTGCGACTTCACTTTGTGCATGTGCGCCGACAACTGTCTTCGCGACAAGTACTTGCGGCAGCAGTAAGGGTAGTGATGTTACATAGGGGTTCGTTATATCAGGGCATTCGGACTTCCATGTCGCAACCCCTCGATCTATATTGACTTGAGGGTTCTATTTGTGTGTGTGTGTGTGTGTGTGTGTGTGTGTGTGTGTGTGTGTGTGTGTGCGCGCGCGCGCGCGCGCGCGCGCGCGCATTTTATGAAATAACACAGCCCCACCTTCACACCTTCAGAGTGCAGCATGAGCCATTGTGTCTGAATAATATTTGTCTACTTGACCGCTGGAGTGGGGGTAGAGCGATGTTACAACTTTCTCGGGCGGCATACACGTGGTCGTGCGGCCGTTCTTCCTTTAGATCACAACAGAAGATGAAAGGCATACACAAGAAACAAAAGGCAATAAGAGCACACCCCAGACGACGATGCATAGCCAAAGAAGTAAAAGTCCATTTACTGTTGCTTCGCGCTGTAAGATTTTATTTCTTTCTCAATAAGCACAGGCAACTCAGTGGTGACGTCAGCAGAATTTGAAGCCTCTGATAACGAAACCCCTCCCCCAAGAGGGTCGCTAGCTCTGAAGTGCAGTAATAAAAGTCTGTATTCTTTTCTTCATTTCTTTTGAGTTGTAGATATTACAAAATAGACAGAGTAATTCCATTGTAGCAGTGTGAGGGAAAGATGTTTTTAGTCAGCCACTAGTAAAAGCTCTTACTTTCAGGGCACACAGAGCGTTCTAAAAGTTAAATTTTTAGCCCCAGCGCTAGCGGAAAAATGCTCAAATGTTCGGGCAGAACTATGTGATTTCAACAACAACAAAAACTTTCACCTGGCCTTATCAGCTACTACAGACCGTAACATAACCTAATACATAATCAAGTGATTGTATACTTAAATTAGAAGAAAATGAAAGTCAATAGGGCTCTAAACAATAGCGTATGAAAAGCATCTAGAAGTGATTTTAGTTTGCTCATAGGATTTCCCCACGCGGCCTCGTGTGACCACGTCGATCTTGCCTACTCGCAGAATAAACTGTCACTTTTACCCCTTCTATTATAAATAACTATGTAATGAGATGACTGAAATAATATTGCAATATTATTATTAAAAATGTACATGTTCTACAAATTATAAGAAAATGTGGTGTAATTTTGTTTATCACAAACTCAACAAGACACAACAGTAGAGGAGCTGTAGAACGTCAAATTCAATTTTCTATTTCGAGGTTTTGGTCCAAACAATTATTTTCAAGTATGTTGCACTTTTTATGTTCGTGAGGGTTCAGTTGGTTACTGTTTAGTAACACTTCCATTTTCTGCGGAGATTTTTATTGCTTCAGCCATCCAGCAATTCTGCTTTTCTATTCCACGGTTTCATTTCTGACTGCTTTCTTTGACGCAACAATTTTTATAATTCTTTTTCACGTTCATGCCACTGTTTGAAACACAGTGATTCCTCTTTAAGCCGCCCAAGTATTAAATACCTTAAATCAGTATTTGAGAAAGCATACTCTTGAACAAATACACATTAATGCTGCTGCGACGATAAACGTCTGGTTTCGAATGAAAGTAGTGCAGGAGAAGTACTTGCGAGAGATTTAAAAGCAAGATACGCGCAAAGTATGCCTTAATTGCCAAGGTGACTAGGCTGTAGGGTCGCGGGTTCGGATCCGCTTAGGGCATGGATGTTTGTGTGTGATCGTTTTGTCCCTTCTTGTCGCGATCTCCCCTACATTTGCCCCAATGGAAACAATCCCAGGGGTATCTACATGACCTAGTAGTTAAAAAAACTACTAATAAAGTTATGTACAAATGGCGGTAGGTCCATATCAATTGCCATTGTCCTATATTGAGCTAAATTAATTCCCTTTTCCTCTCCTAAAGCAAAGAAATAAATCCATTAAAATGAAATAATACATCAGTCAGATTTCAAATCGCCAATTGAGAGTAAAATTAAACATTTTGAATCAAAAGTATATTGATTTCGTAATCGTGTTTATCTGAGAATGGAATAATTGCATTACATTCCGACGTTCAGGTTAGGTGGTTTAAGGGGCCAAGATTCTTAAAAGAGATTTCTCAGGTCACAATAAAAACTCAATAAATTATATTATTGATAATCAGAGTGGTTGTTACTCAATGAGATGTTAACGACGAAATCCAAAATGCTGGCAAAGAAGATAACTTTCAAATCGACAAAGTTCTCACCCACTCTTCCAGTAATATTACGTATTTCTATCCGAGATTATAATGTATTGCAGTGAAACCGTTCGACAATGCCAGACTTTTCAAAGGACCGCCCCTTTTTTGCGAGCAGTCACGAATTGATTATTGTAAAATACTAAATTATTTTTACCCCCTGAATGACGTCCATTTATCTTCCCTACTAACGACCACGAAGTTTTACCGTTGCAACATCAAATTCACTTTTAATACCAGAAAAGTGCGCACTCTAATAAAAACCCAGTCCTCGCTTTTTTTGTAAGCCAAAAGTTTCCGCCGTCTCTCAGATAAGCAACTGCTATCAGTCGTATGAGATTCCACGATAACTCCGGAATAGAAGCTTTGCAGGAAAGCTACAGATACATAAAGAAACAGCACGTTGAAAAATTAAAAGATAATGTTAAAGTTGAAAAACGATACTCCTGGATAAAAATAAGAATTACAATTGATTCTACTTAACGAAGCACTGCCGATTGTTGCAAAACACTTGTTCTCTGCTAATGAACTTGGTAATCAGAAACTAACAGTCCAGTTATCTGAAGTGTAGTATGTTCCGGTCGAAAATATTATGAAAAATACAGTAATTCAAATCTCAATAACGCGTTAGTACCTGTATGAAGATTTTTGAATGATATGTACCACCATAGTTTAAAAGTTCAGTTTACTAACGTAGTTTAATTATAATATACTAGGCAGGCATGTCAAACCGGCATTGTCCGTCCGTAAGCGAGAATTGTTAACTTATAGGGACTTGTTAATTTATTTCACATTATTGCTGCGTACAAAAATAACTGGATGATTTAGTGACACATAACACAAAGCGAAAACAAATAAAAAATCATTGCATTCACATATATTCGTAAGCATTATTAGTTTCTGATTACCAAGTCCATAAGCAGAGAACAAGTGTTTTGTAACAATCGGCAGTGCTTTGTTAGGTAGAATTAATTTTAATTATCTTATTTTTATCCCGGAAACAAATAGGTGCTGGTGTTGTTCTCAAATAATTAAATGTAGTGGACTAAAATGTTCTGTCGGGTAAATGAATCGGTTAAAGCAGGCTACACAGTATTACACCCTTAGAGAAGTGTTGTGGGGGGGGGGAGGTCTCCTTAAGCCCTCCTCAAATTACGCTACGCGCTCTGATAGAAATTTATAAAACGTTCGGATAGGCGATTTTCGTGGCTCGCCCTTCATGCGCTTTGTCCCGCCGCATCGCAATGCCAAGTTACTTTAACGCCAATTTACTTTCTTCTCGCTTCGCTCGCCCGGATCCAAGTCAGGGCGAGGCTCGGGCCTTGGACCCTCGCGTTTACAATAAACATCCTCGAGTCTATCCACCGCATAATTCCAAATTCATCTTTATAAGAAACCACTTTTCAAGAAAGCCTCCAGAATTCAAATTGTGAAGTTACCGCCGGAGCGGTGTGAAGTGCCGGTTTAAACGACTTCCGAAGTTGTACCGTATACTAGACTTCAGCCAATAAATCACTATCTGCACACGTTTTCTTGTTTTTAACAGTGGGGTGCTATTGGAGAATATGGTTATTACGTGAACAGTGCTATGGATTAATCACTGCAATTTGCGCGCACGAGAGTTTCGTCGTTCGGGCAGAGCGCTGAATAATGGGTCCAAGCACAGTTGTTCTTGGAATCTCCACAGTCCAGAGACCTTTGGCATTGAAGGGGAACTGTGTTGTTTTGTGTGTGTGTGTGTGTCTTTCAGCGTTTACTTGGCGATTGCAGATTAGTTGTATTGTTACGATAGTTTCTGTAGTTCTGACCCGTTAAATTCAGCGGCGACTACTGGGATTTGACGACCATCTTCATGCACTCTGTTGGCTCTTAGAATGGTGGCGCCGCAGAAGTTCCTATAACTTTTCCGGTTCTGTGATTGAACGATTTAACACGACTGAAAACCTTTTGTTTGAGGGTTCTGCAAAGGAGTGGAATTTACCTTGAGCATGCATGACATTTGATTATTCTTCGGAAGTACGTCGGATTGTTGGCATTGATCTTAATATTTGTTATTTTTAACATCTGTCATGAAAATACTACTGACATTAGATTTGATTTCTATGATGAATCACGTACATTTGATATATCAGCCACAAACTGCTGGGTTTTTGGCTGGTGGCGAAGAGTGCTGGTCAAAGATTACGTTCAAATATTCGAACCGTTATTCTTCGTGTGTGGTTCATGTTAGCTAGCTCACCGAATCTGTTTTCTAGGGGAAAGTGTACTGTGGGTCACCATTTAGATCACATTAGCGTTACTTTAGTCTGCACTTTTCTTTGTTTCGTTGGGGGTATAATAATCACTGACTGACCTTTTTTCGGTGTTCAAGCCTGGTACTGAAGGGTGACACTGCGGGCGTAGTTTGTTGAGACGGCTTCCTGGTTGATAACAGAAGGTGCGGCGACCTCCATTTGCACTTCGGTTGTAATATTCTGCGGCACTTAAGATTTACATCACTATTGTTGACAGTGGGTAGAGTTTGGTGATTGCCTGCCCTGATGAGTGAACGTCAAACGGCATACACTCGGCACTCGGCTGCTCGAACTACACTACGTGCTGAATGTCGCGTTCAACGGTATCGAGTAGACTGCACAGCGGCGCTCCGCGCTACTAGATCCGGCGGCCGAGCGGGAATGTCTATTTAAGTTATAAAAGGGTGTTACTTCGCACTCGTAGCAGTGATATTATGGCCCTTTTGCGCATCCCAGCTGTAATACACGTCGATGGCCCTGTTGCAAGGCGTCCAGAAGAGAGCGACAGAGCACAGTATTAAAAGCGAACTAGTGCGCCACACCCTCGGTGCTGCTTGCACGTGTATCCGCCCCCAACAACCTTAGACTGCACCGTAGGTCAAATCGATCAAATGTAGGATCCACAGGCGAAGCGTTCGGGGCCGCATGCAGAGAGCGGGCCCAGAAACAATGAAATGCGTCCGGGTCCGCCTGCAAAATGATTTTCAGGACAACCTTTATACGAGTAAGAGTGAATAGCAAATACAAGTAGTGTTAGTACCTTAAATAAAAAAAATCCTTTTACAAATTCGTATCCACCATTCTATGATTACTAAATAGACAATCGCAATACCTTACTTTTGCAGTTTTTACAATCGCAACACCTTCAGCCTAAAAATAAACCCTCTTTTACCTGTGACCGCCTGCATTGCGGTCCCGAACATCAGTACGATCAAATTTCAAGCTATGAGTTACAAAAAGTATGTTCAAACATATTTGGGAGATACAAACTGATAGCCTTCCATCCTGAAATTCTTTCTGGATCTATTCCTCAGTAAACAAATATCTCTGGGTGGACTAGGTTCAAAAGATCTGCGTGATAGACGAAAAAGACAACCTTTTTTACGCAAAGAAAAAGTGTTATTTTACCAACCTGTTCTCCGTAGCATCTCAAATTCACACTAACTCAACATGAGAAAGGGTCGCTGTGATACAAAAATATCTAGTATTTGTTTTTACACTCAATTATTTTCATAAAATAATGGTGTTGTTCTATGAATACCTCAAACTTCTCCATCTTCTAACTATCCGTCTAAAAATTACGTTATTTCTTCAAAGAAATTCCATCACATTTCTTGGTTTTCCTCTTTTTTCAGAGAGGAACTATACTTCAAATGTGCGAAAGAAAACACTAGTGTAGATTAAACCCTGGATTTCCATCAAAATCAGGGGAACTATACTGCACAACTAACTCTGGATAATGAATAAGAGAAAGTTTCATTGATGAATTATAAAGACAAATCAGATTTCAAAACTTCAATCCTTTTTTCGAACTTTTATTGATTGTAAGAATTGCTGGCCACCTTGGGCACTGATATTGACCATACTATTTCCTGTTATATTGTATTACATTTTTGAGAAAAAAATTACCAAAGAAAATGGTCTTTGATGTGAGATGTTCCTATATTCAAATGAACAGAAGCTGTTAGTTATTCCATCAGTGACTTATGGAACTTGATCCTCATCAAAGAACTACAACTACAAGGTTTTGTGCATAATCTATTTCAGTTCAATATTGGATTCAATGAAATACAACTTTTGTTTCTTCATCTCTAGAATAGGTGACAATTTTAACACTTTCCTCAAATCATGTCAGAAAATCAAAATGAATGAATAAAAATAGCATTACTACAATAGCTTTTTCTAAACATTTCAAGAAACAAGAGTACCTACACAAAATAATATTTGAGTTTAAATTCTTGAATGTTCTGATGTTGCCCAACCATTTTCTCTAGTATATTGGAAAATGGAATATGTGGCAATAATACATCAGTTATGAAAAATTTGGTATACTTTAATTAAATATTCAATATCTTTATATTCTACATTACATATTATATGCCTCATTTAGTACTTCATTAATATTGTGTTATACATATAATTAGTTTTTCGGAATACTTTTGTAACACAAAAAACATGCTTTGTACAGGAGAGCATATTTAATTTTCCCATTATTTTCCCATTCCAATATTCAAGTTATATCAAAAAATGTTTGTCTGATTTTTTTAATTTATGAAAATGGATTTTATAAAATAATTTTTGCACAACACTATTCCATAAAAACACAAGGCAATCCCCATTCATGAAAAAGTAACTCATCTGCTGGCTGCTGGGTGGTAATTGTTATAATGTCAAAGATGAACTCTTTATTCCTCATAAAAATGATTTTTTAAACTGATTTACATAAAATATTTGATTTTTTTGAGTTACAACAGTATTCTGGAAAAGCAGTGATATATGAATTAAACTAAAAGATGTAATATTTTGTTACTTTAAAAATACAGATCATACAATGAGGTTACATTTTACTTAAGGAAATGGATAACAGGTCATTACAATTAATTAAATATAAAAACATTATGCAAGAAATAAGTTTACATTTCATACATTTTATTTTAAAATACTAATACACATACTTACATTTAATATATAATCTTGTATAATTTGTACATTGACATGTCGAAGAAATTCATGGTTATATGGTAGCAATACCAATGACTTAACTGATTTCTTCTTGACTAACACACCTCTCTGACAATTCAACTTCATTGGAAGTTTGACTCTGTTCTGAACATTGTCTACATAATAATTTTAGAATCGGCATGCAAGGTTTCTCGGTTTGCTTTTTTTGCTTACTGCGCAACACAACATACACATATGGATCAATAGTGAAATGTAAAGCCATTAATAAATCAGACGCAGCATAAAATAAAGCTGCACCTTTTGAATGTGAAGTAAACTGTGCAAGAAAAATGGAAATCTGAAACAAACAAATGCATAATTCTTTTATAATTTAAAAATGAGCACAATAGAATTTAAATAATTAAATATTAAATTATTCACATTTTTTCATTATATTTCTTACAACACTTATCTAGAATTCTTCTAGTACTCAACAGATATTCATACCATCAGAAAAAAATAAGTTAAAAATTCAATATATTTTAGAAAATGTAGGATTCAAGAAATTAATCATCATCCTTGTCAGTCATTATCATACTCATTGTCATTATCATCATCACTGCCATTATTATGATTATATTATTATTATTATTATTATTATTATTATTATTATTTTATTGAAATAATTATTATTTAGATCGTACGTATTAAATTTTGCACTCTTGAACACTTCGTTTAGTAATGTTTTTTTACTAGTATTGTAAGATTTTAAGTAACATTCAGCAATAACTAGAATTCAGTAGCAAAAAACAGGATATTATTAAATAGATCACAGAAGTTCTTAATAATCCCTAATTTCCGGTGGTGTAGTTGGACTCGAGTGAACGTTTCGAACGTCGAAATTCATTTGCTTTAAAAGCGAAAAGGGCTACTTTCCGGGACCCACCTTCGAAAGGTCGGCCCCAAATTGCGTTCGTTTTAGCATTGTAGGCCTTGTAAAAGTACACAGGCAATCAAATAGTCCATTTAATTTGGAGCAGATACGATTTAGAGATTCTGTTCGCTTATGACCACTTGTTCTGCGGAATGGAGCGCCAAATCCCCATGACTTTAATAGAAAATAAAAAGACGAAGGCCAAGGTTAGCGCTCCCCGAGCTGCTCGCAGCTTCACAGCTCAGTGCAGCCAGAGGCGAAACATTTTCCGCGCGGAGGCTGCTCTTGCGATCGTGCGGATGACACGAGAAGCAATATTAGAGGAAAGTGATTGGTTGGGTGATGGCCGTTTCTCGGCAGCGTCAACTGCTATGGAGTCCCTCATAAATTACGTAACCCTGAAGAGGCTGGAGGGGGCTGAGGGAGCGTTACGATGCGTTATATAGGGGTAGAGGGTATTATTTAAGTGTTAGGTAATATTGACATTTATTTATATACACTTTTCAACATTTGCTGAATTTATTTCTTTTTTGAGTCATGTACTAAAACTTTAAAATATTGACTAATTAATTTGTTTAAAAACAAACAAACCAAAGTTATTAGTTGTAAATAGTTACAATGAATGTAATTTTTTTAAACTTTTAAAATTGAAGATTGCGAAGAAAATATCCAAAACTGATATTAAGAATATTCTAGAATCCATTCGTCATCCACGATGGCGCGCGTATGCACAGCTTGTGACCAGCAACTCCTCCATTTAATTGGCTTCCCTCTTTCTGCTCCCCTCCTCACGGCGTAATGCGCCTGGAGGAAGGTCACAAAATGGCGACCGAAACGACAGCAACTTTGCCATGGACGCGGCGTCACCCGGACAGCCAAGTAAATACTGACTTCAGCCGCGGAAGCCTACGCTCTCAACCATTTCTCGCCCAAGCATTCTTCCTTCACTCACAACTTGCATCATTCTTATAGTTAGGTGCAGCCAGCATCGCCAACTAATTTCTACTTTAATTAATTATCATTAATTTTAATATTCAAAACAAGTAAAATAAATACGAATTGTTTTTATTATGCTATAATTTATGTTCACTTCTTGCATTTACAAGGGAGGGGGTGTCGCAAGCGACCGTAATTGTACGTAATTTTTAGGGGGGGGGTTCAAGCGCGCTTTACGGGTGCTTGGGCGGACAGGGGGTTTTGAAAATACTCCAAATTTGCGCTATGTAATTTATGGACGGCCCCTACGATCATTAGTCCCGTATGTAACGTATATATCATATCCCTGAAATGGCGGCTTGCCTCCCCACTGGAACAAGATCCGGCGCCGACCTAGAGGTCTGCTCGTGGGGATTCCTCTTTCAGGTGTGTCCCTACCCAGCGGGGCATCGCACAAGCTGGGGCGGATTCTTCTCTTCACGCCATGTGAGGTAGTGTATAGTGCGGGTTTCATAACCCTGCCCCTCGAGGCCCTACTTCACGGTGGCAGTATGCCACTGTATTTCGCGCCTTTCTTTGTCGTGCCCCTAGATGTCGCATGATCGCGACCCTACCCACCACTATACGGGCACCACTCGAGGGGCAGGGTTATAAAAACCGCACCATAGAGCATGTCCTTACAAGGGGACAAGGATGACGAAGGAAAGAGCGCGGGCATCGGCAAAGGTGGCTCAGGGCATCACTTGATGTCACAGCAGGGCCCCAGGCGGTGGCAGGATTTTCGACACTACGTGGAGAGCTAGGTCGAATTCAGCCGCTGCAGCGCGCTGTCTGGAGGGGAATTCTAGCGGTCGTCTGCTCTGATTGAAAGTTTTCTGTGGTTTCTCCGGTCAACACCGGGTGAAATCCAGTACAGCACCCTAACAAAAGGTCCACGGACTGCTCGCGATCTTTCCTTCCTTTTCCTTATGATATCCTCATCCCTGACTTACACATACATAAACACACACACACACACACATGCTCAACACTCACGGACGCAATGACCTTCGCAGTTGTCGCACCGGGAACCATTAATCATCAACCGATCAACTAGGAGGTATATTCTCTTAATGACATAACGTTCAAAGTATGTTTCGTTAATATCCGTTTTCTGCCGTACTTACCATCTGCGGGGCCCAGCACACCACGAAGAAGATGCTGAGCACCGTCATGAGGCGAGCAAACGCCACCTCCTCGCTGGTGCACACGTTGTAGGTGATCTGCTGGGCTCCGCTCTGAACAAATTTATCTCTCGAATTGTTCCTGGAGCCGCTGGCGATCATCGGCTTTTGCGAACACGAAGAGCAGGTGCACTGCGAAGAGACGCGGTCGCTACAACGGAACGACGCCTTCAGCAGGCGCTGCGAGCTGCTCTGCCTGTCGAGGGCTGGCGGCGCGTCGGCCAGGTCCGCCGGGCTCAGGTCCAGGGCAGCGGTTTCGCCGATCCTCGTCGTCATGGTGGCGGCCTCGCTCCGGTGCACCGTGCTGCGCCGGCTGCATTTGGAGGCGGCGCCGAGCGACTGGCGGGATATTCTGCGGCCGATGCCCGCGCCCGCGCCGCTCCACTTGCCCATGTCCATGTGACACAAGGCGCGCACCACGGCCAGGTTGCACCACACGATGCACAAGCACAGCAGCGTGCCTGCGCGACAAACGAGCCTCTCCTCAAGGACTGATTGGGACTGGGTGCGCTGACGCGTACAAAAAGATGGTTTTGCATAAATGGAATAGAAATTTACATCAGCATTTTTATGAACTGCAATACAATTCGGTATCACAAAAATAATAAATTTTACGAAATTCGACTTATTAACTATATTCATTGCACTTAAAACATATTTACATAATTTTCATCTGTTTGTTTTTATACGTTCATTTATTACTTAAAATTACCCTGAAATGAACCAATCCACACCACGCCGCATCCTAGGAAAACTAGTTGATAGATTGCGTTTACAAACCCTTCCATATTAAAGCACAATATTTTTCAAGCACTCTTGCTAGGGCTAAGAAAGTTAACATCAATTCCTCTTAAAATTGCAAAATGTAAATATAAGGATACCAATTTTAGGATTGGAACAACGCCTTTATTTGAATTCTTGCTGAGCTCCATGACAAGTTTCTTGTTCATGGTACATCAATTTATTTTCCACCCATTGAGAGTTGGGACAAAGGATAACAATTAATACCAAACACGTAGACGTTTACTGCTATAAAAAAGTATGCACAAAATTTTAAAAAATTATGTTAATATGAATGTAAAAAAATAAGAAAAAAGTAAGACAAGACATCTTATTAAATTAATAATTATTACATGAGATTATTACATTGGTAGGATACACTTTCTGTAAAATCAATTCTTTCAATCGATTCGGCATATTTTCAGTAAAAGTTTTGAATATAAACTGTCTATTGATACCAATTTTTACGCCCAATTTCCTCTCCTGTGAATTTTCTTCTCAAGATCTTGACACAGATTTAGAGGAAGCAACTCTGCACAGTGTACGCTTCATGTTTATGATCATCATCGTGATAAAATTTAAGAGTATTCTGAATACCGGGCTTATACGAACTTTGGTACAAAGGAATACCTTGATGTGGAGATAAACTTTCTTCATCGTTTTCTCTACAAACCGTAATCTCTTCACTCCAGACAAAGAGCACACACCACTACATGATACTGCCTCCGCCGTTCTGCATAATCGGCTGCAGATTTCATAGTTTCAGGTGTTCGTTTATATTACGCTACACAGTCGTTCTGCAATCTGATTACTCTCGTCAGCCAACTACTTTGTCCTTCGCTCACATACTGCTTCGCACATTTCAGCCTTTTCTTTCTACTGCTCTTCCTTATAAATGGCTTTTTTTTGTCATTCTTCTATTAAACACTTCGCTTTTTAGAACTTTCCTCGCGGTTTGAGGGTGCAATTTCTTTCCATTTTCTTCTAATAACTCACCAACAATTTTCGGGTCATTTAATCGACGATTCTTCCTTACTGTCCTCAGAATTAGGTGTTTCACTCTCACACGTTGAGTGACCTATTTGCGACCCTTTTTCTGTTCTCTCTTCTCGTTCGCATCGCCTCACGATGTCGTGCATTGCACTTTGTGGTAGATTGAGTATTTTGCCAATTTCGTATTTGAAATACTTCTTTTCGTGACTGAACAGCACAAGTAGTCGCTGGTCAAATTAAGTATTCCGTCCTTTTCGCTTCTTACTAGTATTACTCGCGCAACTTTTCTTGAACGATGGATTGAAGAAATGCGTGTAGAGGGAGGGGGAAGGAGGGGGAAGGAGGGGGAGGAGGGGGAAGGAGGGGAGGGAGATTTGCAAGGAAAGACTCCAGATTCCATTATCGATATATTAGGATGGCAGAATATTAGAGCCCCCTTCCCACGTGCAGCGGGCATCCGCTCGGTGGCAAGCTCGCGCTACGCGAAGCGGGTGGGAGGGCCACGCGCCACGCTAGCAGGAATATAGCTTTAGAGCGCCATTCCCACGTCGCCACGGCGCCGCACTTCTTCAAGCAAGCAAGCCTTCCGGACGCCGCCACCGCCGCAGCCACGGCCGCAAACGCCGCCCGCCGTGAAGGGGGTGGGGCTCTCTGAGGTGGAGGCTTCACGGACCCTCCGGCGACGACAACAAAGGGACCGGAGCAGAGGATAGAAACGCTGCGGCCCGCGTGGCAGTGGGAAGGCTCCCATTTGAAGCTGTTCCTGCTAGCAGTAGTGTGCGTACGCCCTCCTCGCGCTTCTCGTAGCGAGCAAGTTCCGCCGCCGTCTTGCCGTAGCCGCGCCCCGCCCGCTGCACACGGGAAGGGCCTCCATTCAAACCAATGCCTCTGCTGGCGAGACGTGGGAGGGCGCCGATTAAAGAGAGAAGACTGCGCGTATAAGGGGATATCGAACCCATGCCTTCTGACAAAAACTCAGAATCAATTTACGCTGATACGTGATGTTGACGCTGTTAACATCTTAGGGCAACTTGGGTCAAACATTTTTCTCGCAATTTTAGCCATCTTCAGCATTTACGATATTCCAAACTTGAAGGTTGCAAACAGGGGCATAACGAAATGGGTGCGAGCCGGCTCGCAAATACCTTGTCCGGGCCCTATTTATATAGGTGTTAGTAAACAACAATGTGGCGCGTTCGGTTAACACGAGGGCCAGAACCTTAGGTCGGTGAAAGTTACGCTGCGGGGGGAGAAGGGTTGAAGCCTGAACATCCGGGAGTTTGCGCTCGGGCGGTTGACTCAGGTAGTGCCGCAGAGCCAAAAATACGGAGGCTGTAAACTCGAGGGATGCTGCCCGGCGAGCCTCGCTTTACGAACGCGGCAGCAACCTGAGAACCCTGTGGTGTGGCGTAAACCAAACTGCTGGCCTGCGAGTCTCGCGCCAGCCGGCGAGCCTATCTATGGAACATGCGTGGGGGTGTCAGCCCTCAATCTATTTAACGCGGCGGCCATCCTGCGCCCCGCGCTCTCATTCAGTTAGCATCGCGGGAGCTTGTACGTGTGTTACGAGGAAGTGTTTAGGGTGTTGAGCGGAGATGTCCGGAGAGTAATGGGGCCGACGATCTCCGCGTGCTGTAGGCACACGCGTCGCGCCACGGACCGGAAAGTTAAAATTTTGCGCAGGCCATGTGACCGGTAATTTGTCACCGGAACAGAGTCCGACAGCGCGCATCACGCGTGGCTTGTATTTTTCTGCCGGTTAACGCAGTGTTCTGAAAGGAAAAGGTTGCCGAAGTGTTTTAATATTAGCAATTTATTGTAACTTTAAATAATCTTTGAATATATTATTTTTATTTTGTTATTGAAATTTATTTCTTATTTCACTACGTCACAACAAGTTGTGTTAGAACCTTAAATAATAAAATATCCCCTAAAAATAGGCCCTCCTTTACCCACAATCCCGGCCTTGCGAGCCAGAAAGCTACGCCCCTGGTTTCAAAGTGCTTTGGTTGATATGAAACCTAGTTCAGGATTCAATGTATAAGAAATTTTAAATAATGGGTAACCAGCAAGAAGTGTTTCTCTTGGCAGATACATTCATAATTCAAAGGAGAGAAATATTAGACTCTCCGAGTCGATTCTACTCATATATATTCGATTCTATATATTTACCAAGTAAATCCGGACTCTTTTCAAGTAGCAAGATCTGTAAGTGCGTATATCCTTTAAAAATTTCGGAAAAATAATCAAATCTTAGAAATGGTTCAATTGCACTTCTTATGATTTCCAAGACAAGTGACCTTGAAGTACGATAACAGTTTACTCAAGGAAGTAACGGTTAACTAATTGATCCTAACAGAACAAAAGCTCCATCCTCGCCTCATTTTGGTAAACACTGCCCCTATGACCCCTGTTTTTAGGACGAACGAGAAATGGGTTCTACATCTGTCGCGAATGAAAAACAGCGAAAGCTACTGTCCATATACGTAAGGTCTCGTTTGAGCACTTGAACCGTCCAAGTGATTCTGACATGCAACAATCGTTTTTTTTTTAAGAGATACGCATCGACGAACAAATACTTTTTGATTTCCTAACAAAAGGAATGTTGACAAGGATTTTAAAAGTGCAATAAGATGGTTGTGCTTTCATAATTTATTTTATTAATAGAAATTATTTTCTTTCGTATCTTCTCCTTTTATAAAAAATAAAATATAACACACTATTGTTATTATTATTATAGGCAAATAGCGCTAATTTAAAAAAAGATGTAGTTCCCTTCTATGATGCAACTTTACTGATTTCGTGCACTTATTTTATTGATGTACCACGCAATTATGCAGGTAGTAACAAACACGAAAACGCGCCGTATTCAAAAAATATGTAAAGAACTCAAACGAATTCAACGAAATGTGTAACAATGAAATATAGCAACTGAAAATATACTAAAGTTATGTAAACAAAAAAGAAAAACAAAACGAAAGAACTCCTCAAAAATCAAGATGCAGATTATTTGTTTCTTAATGAGAGGACCGAAGTGCGTTTCTACGTAAGTCTAAATCAGATTTCCGCCAAGTAACACTGCGACTCCCTTTTCCACCCAACAGGAGGTCTCTGCAAAGCGGAGGTAACCTCGCCCTTCTACCTGGACGCAGCCCCCTCGGCACGCCCTCCCGAGAGGTCGCGTCTCCTCCAGCCCAGCTCTCCCGGAACTATTCACTTCGCAGCGAACTCGACTATTTAATGTAGCTCGTTACTAATAGTATTTTTTCAATGATGGTATGCCAAAGTGCGTATTGTTTCCTTCTACTTAATTTTCAAATTTCCGTCATATTTGTGCATTTTACTAGACACTTGAAGTAGCCTACAATATTTTAAAAATAGTAATGATATTAATTATTATATTGGTAATAAATATTATTGTATTCCTATTGCCTTACTTTAAAAGATTAAAAAAGTACATCTGTGTAAGCTTGTACAATTCCGATAAAAGCCCTCTTACACAGCAAATAGTATTTTCTAAGTTAATAAATGTTCCCTGAATTTAGTGTGGATAACGTAGAGAGTAGCAACAACATTAACTCGTGATGATAATCATAATCATTATTATTATTATTATTATTATTATTATTATTATTATTATCAAGCAATTTATTACACTCTTTGTTTTAATCATAAATTAGTATCCTAAGTCAAATGCTACTGCTTTATACTATTTATTACAAATGATGAGAGCGGAAGAATAATGAACAAATGCCTTTTTTGCTAATTATTGTAATGATACTAATATTAATATTCTTCAATTAAATAGATTCACTAATAAGAACAAAAGTTATCTAGGGCCAATGATATTACGGCATACACCGTAGATTTGAATATGGTAACTTACCGTTCGATTAAATTTAAAAAAAAAACATTTTCAAACTTCAAATCAAAAACATTTATTCATAGTATTACTAATACTTAGGATGAAACAATAAATAAAATTAATAACTTTGCACACCAAAAAATGAAAGAAAAACAAGTCTAAACCTAATGGTTCGTGAATCTATTTACAGTTCGTGTTCTCAATTATTCTTTGTGTTCACATACATGTCACCGAAACATCAGTGGTGTTTTCCGAATTTCCAAATCTCATCAATACATACAATACTCGTCGACAGTTCAACATTCAACACATCTTTTTGTGATTGTTGAGACATACAAAGTCTTATATTTTCTCAACCTTCCAGTCATTCACTGGACAACAAATTGCTCTCCGTCCAGGCAGTTCACTCATTATCTGCTTGTTGATGTTTCTATTCGGTGCACCCTGTCCGTCACTATGATGTCATACAACTTCAATATAAGTAGGCGTTCACACTTATATTGATATAAAACAACCTTCTCTTGATATAAAATGTCCTTGGTAATATTGATTTGTTACATTATAGACATTTTGTTACAAAAAAGAAATCACTCATCGGTTCTATCTCTAGCAGTAATATGTCCTCACATTCAATTCTCTAAATATTTTGTTAATTATCACTTTGCTTATATTTTTTAGGCATGCATAGTGAAAATGGCATCGAATTGTCGACAGTAAGAGAATATATGTTTGGAATAAGTATTATAAAGCATTGTAATGTTATCAGCACATGCAAAACGCAAAAAGAAAAACCATGACTTACCGAATGTGAAAAACAGGTATGCATAAGCAATATCTTTGGGCTCCGTTGCATTTCTGTAGCGGTCGCACTTTCCTTTGCTATTTATATACATTCCAAATCCAGCAAAGGGTAAGCAAACCAATACCAAAACATGGCCCCACAAGCAGAAAATCGCTATGAGAATGATCTCAACGGTAACATGCTGTAAAATAAGAAGGTGCATTTTATTGTAATGAAGCAAGTCTCCACCTACTCCTATATAGAATTTATCAAACACAATTTAAAAAAATAAAATTGAAAACCAACAATAATTGTGATATGAGTTACAAGAAAATGTTACAATGTAACTAAAATTACAAATAAGGGAAATGGTAATGACGTATATTCATTAACAAAAATGATAATTGACAAACACGAAACGTTTGCTATTGTACAGAGCTATTCAAAATAAGGAAATTTTATTGCTCTTTAGGTAATGAAGTTAAAAATATTTCACCATAAATATAACTTAAGAATCAAATAACTTCTATCATTCCTTATTAACAAAAATTGCGAAAAACACAGGCAATAAATATTTATATGGCAGAAAATCTATTAGAAATCCCATAAATGTATGTTTTAATAAGTGAAATATGATACATTGAGATTGACAAATTAATGCAGTGTTTCTTGTCTCTGGTCATTTATCATTCTATGTCCTCTGCCTTCGTTCTACCACCCCACGGAGCGGTGCGATGTCGGGAAGTGCCCGAGGATGTAGGGTCACACATTCTGATGTTCTCGCGCAACTGAGGCCTGGTCTATTCCAATCACCTCAAGTCTGAAGTTGTTGTGTTTTAACATTCGTTCCCTCAAGAACTATCAACTCCGCACAAAACTAGTCATCGCAAAACGATCATGATTGTCTTGCGAGAGGCTACACGAATTGAATTCTCATTCGGTACATTCCACAGCAGACAACAGTACACAAGGAGAGAGTGCGCAGGCCCCCATGGCACATTAAAAATCCCGTCAAACCATTACTTTAACTCAAATCTTTGCCAAAATATTATTTAATCAATCGCGTCAGAACTTATTTTATGCTATTTTATTATTAATGAATTTTTCGCAAATAATTGTAAAAAGAAATAGTATAGCTCCAGTTATGCTACTGAAATAGCACGACTGACAATGCTGATAAGAAATTCTTGCACGTGTGTATACGGCTTTGAATTATAAATCCTCATGCCAGCGCAAAGGTTGCAAAGTTCGTTAAGTGGTTGAATCGAATCATTTTATATTGTAAAAGTGAACACCACCACTCTGTGAAATATATCCATTACCTTTTCAACAACAGAAAATGTCTATTAATAGACTTGTATAGATTGTAGGCTACTAATAGGCTTGTGAGATTGTGTGTCTGTGTGATGCATGTGTGTGTGTGTGAGAAGAGAGAGAGAGAGAGGAGAGAAGAGAGAAAGGAGCGAGTGAGAGAGAGGGAGGGAGGGACGGCGAGAGGGGGCGAGATTGAGAGGGGGAAGCGAGAGGGAGCGAAAGAGGGAGAAGGGGGGCGGGAGAGAGGAGGCTTCGTGTGGGGTAATATTAGTGCATGAGTGTATGTGTGACCGGTTTACGCGATGTACGGAGACTAGGGGTTTTAACGCAGTACTTACAACTGCAAATTAACAAAGTTGAGAATTGAAGAAGCTTTGATGATGCTGCCTTCCGTAAGTTGACAGAATACGAAGAAGGCCACAAATTCACACGAGATTCAACCAACGTAGCGCTTGTCGCCAAAACTGATCAGCCAAATGGCTTGAAACTGTCCAGGGTACTCTTACAATTATTCACACATTTCATACAGAGTTAGTTTCGATGCCGATTAAAGGTGTTTTAAAATAATTTTGAAATCTTCCTCTTTAATAAAAAAAGTTTGGTTAATACAACCTGCTCGCTTGGAATGTGTGGGCCTTTGAACGGGACAATAACTATCCTAGAAGGGTGCAAATACCACATAATTGTAGCAATTTTTTTTTCGCAGTATTAGAACCAATGATAAGAAGTATAATTTTGTGTGATAATAGGCTCCTGTGTAATTCCAAAATTCTTCGCCCGGGAGCGCTGCCGCAGAGTGAAAGGCGAATGAAGAACGTCTTCCTGCCAGTCCGGCGAGGTCGCGCGCTTCCTTTCGCCCGGAGGAACCGTCTACCAGGCAGAAGAGGCCGAAACGCCACAAAGCGTTTGAACACACGCTAGGCGACGACGCGTTATGCATGCTCCCACAAGCCGGTCCATACTTTCACGCAAAGCGCTCCCAAAATTTAAAGAAAGTTTTTCGAAGTCATGGTGATTTCAGTCGGGCCACATCGAATGGGAATATTCATTTTGGAGAAATATGCAACGAATGGTTTAGGCGCTAATGTTATTCTCAGAATAACACACAGACAGACAGACGTTTTGAAAACACAACTTTTTGACCTCAGGGGACTCTAAAACATGTTATTCCGTTGAAATATGGAAATCTACACGCTTCCTGCAGCATTACATTACTTTCTTTATACTATGTATATTATTCCATATAGGCTTAAGAACACGAGAAAGAAAGAAAAATCAAAGATTTTTTTGTTTCAAGTGAGAAGTGTTTTTGTAATCCTATCTTTCAGCGCTTCAATACTTAATTTTAATTGTCCATAAGAAAAATATCCAGCATTCAATTTATTGGAAAATACAATTTAAATTATTAATTTTCTCTGACAGTGAAGTATAAAGAACATTTTAATTAATTAATTTAATTTAAAAATCAGATCTTTAAAAACGTCATGCAATTTTTTCGAAAAAACGAATAGTTTTTACATAATTTTCACTTGAAATTACTGTAGTTTATTAAAACCATTTTCTCAAAAACTGCTTAAAATTTTTTCTTTCATATTTTTCAATTGATAGAACAAGGATGCAGGCAGAAAATGGCGCAGAGCTTCGTTGAACTCTCTTCATTGTTAAAAAATGCAAAAGTTAGAAATAATGCTAGAACGTATGTGCTGCGACATCACCACACTTCCTCTATAAGTTATTGCGTAAGCAGTATGCGAGAAAGTAAAACTCAACTCCTCTTCTCTTATATAGTTTTATATTTGTTTGCATCTCATCTATATTACTAAATTTCCAATGTGCGCAGAAATTGAAAGAAAACTATGCATCCTCAGGCCATTTTAGAGGAGTCTCGTGCTACATACTAGATAAGCGACATCGCGAAAAACTACGCCCATTTTTATAAACATCGATACTCAAAATTAAAATATTGATGTTAACACAACATCGTCCCAAAACCACTGATGCTTTTAAACATCGATGTTTCAAACTTGGGTTAGCAATAATTGAAATACACACAAGTGGGGGCAATTTAATTTTAAAGTGATATTGTTAAAATATATATAAATAGTTCAGGACAATTAACGAAAGTTAAATTAACTGATTCGATAATACAAAACTAATATAAGCTTCTTTATTGGCGAAAACTTGATTTTATTTATTTTCTCCCTTAATGTCATTGGTCTGATAAATATTCGATTTGTGGATATCTGAAAATAATAATAGGACTTTTTTTCCTTTAAAAAATATCCTCCCCATAAAAAAAAATTGAACACAAAACATCGATGTTAAAAAATCATCAACTTCAAGAAATTGATGTTAAATACATCGATGATTTTATAAAACCATTGATGTTTTGAAACCATCAATATCGATGTCGCATCCTTAGAACTTATCGCTCTCAGGGTTTAATGACATTTTTCTCGGAGAATCGCAGAGACCGTTCCTATTTCGGCCGTGTCCCTTAATAAATTTGTTCATGGTATTACTTGGCCCCGCTTCAGTGCCTGAACAGTTGGATACGGAATCCAGTTCTTCAATTAAAGAGAGATTGCACACAGTTGCCTGTCAGGCCAAGAGATTATGGAAGGATGAAGGCAAACAACGAGACACACAAAGGTCCGGAAAGCGCCCTCCGCAGGCCCAACCGAACTTTCGCGCAACAGTCGCACGTGCTCACGTACTCGTCTCACGCGGTTTTAGGGCGGTGTTGCCAAGTTAGCAGTTTTCCTTCTACATTTACGTTGCTTTTTATAGTTTTATTTTGTTTCGTTTTAGTGGATGTTTTAGGAGGCAAATTTATTTGGGGATTTTGTTGGAGTTTTCGTTGAGTTTTCAATGTTTATTAAATATCTATTGTGAATCACACACAGACACACACACACACACACACACACAGAGTTACACACTCATGCACTACGTTGCCACACATGCCAGAAGACCAGTTTGGAGCTTAGTGCTTGTGGCGGCTCGGGTGGTGCCCGCCAGGGGGAAAAGCTGGTAAGGAAAACCGCAGCTAGCCAACTTGTTGGTCTGCATCGGATATCGTGTTCTAGGGGGAGGTACACCACCACCTCACCAAATATAACATGCTCTATACTTACGGTACTAAATACCTTTCCGGTGGACGCGCCCGGAGTGATGAAATAATCAATCAAATGTAACAAATGTGGAACTGTTACAAAAGTATTGTTTAAACCTGCACAATTTCAGGGGCCGTAATTCACAGAACTCATATCGAAGGTGCTATGCGCTTCGCCCTAAGCCTCCTCATGAGGAAGTAACTTGGCATGATACAGTTCATAAATCATCAGTGGCGCCCTCAAAGGAAAGGAAGTCAGGGGTCTTCAGGTTCCCCATCTACATCTACGACGACACGTTTTCATAAATAGAGTTCTTATTAACGCTCTTAAGGACGCATTCTTTATCTCACGTATGTAGTTATAAATAACTATAAACGAGAAATACTAATCATTTTTTAATCGAACATAAATAAGAAAAGAAAACAAGTCGGCTACACACTGCCAGCTTTTATGGTTGACTGGCACTCACTATCAGTTGCCTCTGTAGCAATGCTGATCGACAGGTCCTATGTTTTGAATCCCAACGGTGGCAAAATTTAAACACTATCTTGATTCCTAGATCTAAATCAGACGCTCTCGGCGGGAGAATTTTAACGATCGGCTGCTCAGAACGGTAGTTTATTTTAATTTCTCCGATAAATTCCAGACGAATGTCGAGTAGTACCTCAATAAATGGGTCACAGACATACTTACCCTTTCGCACACACTTACTGGCAATTCATCACACATTTCGAGAGAACAAATCATTTTTCCGCCTGGAGCGGTGTTCCAT